CAGACTTCTCCAACGGTCCAAAATTTGATTGTTTCGACTTCTAATTTTTCCAGTACAAATGGTTATATTGGTCATCCAAAAATTGGCAGTCGACCGGACGGTCATCCGGTTTGATAGGAAATTTTGGCTTTTCTGACTGTTATAAATACCAATTAACTTGCCATTCATTTAAAAAAACACTTTAGAGCGTTCAAATGAGATACTTTTGAGCAAAATTATATTGATTTCTCATCTCATTTATTATTATCAAATCATTTAATTTTGAAATACTTTTGATCAAATTAACTTTTGAAAATCTACTCACAAAGTTTTTCATTTGAAAAATATTCTTTGAACTTACATTTTTACATTAATTTAAATTTATTTTTTCATAACAAAAACTTTAATTGTTGGATCAAACTTTTTGAATCATTTCTCTTATCAAAGTTTTTCATTTCTCTTTGTGCTTAATTTAGCTATATCAATTTTAAAAGATACATATTTTTTAAGAAGATATTTACACTTATATTGCATAAACTTTTTCTACTTCTTTTTATTGAAACTTTGATTGAATCAAACTTGTAAATATCATATTCATCAAAGTTTCTAATTTCTCTGTTAGTACTTAATTTATCACAAATTATTCATTGAAAGAGAGATATATTTTTTAAGAAGATTTTTGCACTTACATTGCATAAACTCTTCTTCTTCTTTTTCATATTGAAACTTTGATTGATTGAACTAAACTTGTAAAATCATCATATTCATCAAAATTTCTCATTTCTCTCTTAGTACTTAATTTATTATAATCATCTATTAAAAGAAAGATATTTCTTGAGAAGATTTTTGAACTTATATTGTATTTATTTTTTCATCTTTTTATTAAAACACTTTGATTGATTGAATCTCATTTTTTCATCTAACACTTAAGCTTTCATTTATTACTATTAATTGAAGTGTTAACTTCTCCTAGTATTTAATTTGTTTCTATTATTTATCAAGAGAGAAATTTAATTGTTAAATCACTTTGATAAAGTGTGGGTCGTGTTAAAGTTCCTTAAAATCAATATCGTATAAGGATCGGTGCTCCTTGTTGTAAGTCACTGTGTGGGTCATATTGAAGTCCCGTAAAGCTCAATAGTATGGGTCATATTGAGGTCCCGTAAAACTCAATAGTGTGGGTCGTGTTGAGGTCCCGTAAAACTCGACATTGTATAAGGATCGGTGCTCCTTATTTGTAAGTCACCGGAAGCGATGTAAATGGTTGGATTGCACCATAAGTCAATCAACGTAGCGAAAAAATGCCTTGCTTATGCCGAAGAGCTTGGTAAGGGAAGCCGTAGATCATTGTTTTGGATCGACCCTCCACAATTATATCATTTGCATCATCTCTCCCTTTTACTTATCGCTTTTATATTTGTGCTTACTATTTGAATTAATCTATTTAGTCTTTACTTGTTTGAATTTTGATTAATTCTTCAAAAAAGTTTTAAAAATCAATTCACCCCCTCTTGGG